AGATGATATTGTTATGGAAGAACTGCTCAATTTTTATATCTTTTTATCATTGAAAATACAATTTTCTAACAGCAATGTACCAGTGTCGAGTGTGAATAAACCAGCCGAAGTATAAACCAACCGAATATAGGCAGTGTATATAAACCGGCCAAAAATTTACGTCATATGAAACCAAAGTATATAAACCAGCCAAAAAGTTACGTCATATGAATCAAATTTGCACAACTTTCGTAACTGTTATATAATTGGTACATAACTATTATATAACAGTTACGCATTGTCTGCTGGTTTATATGGCAGCTGGTTTAAACATCGGCTGGTTTATAAACCACCACCAGTGTCACTAAAGACACTCAATTTTGCAGATTCTGAGCAACTCTGAATCATCGCTGAAACAGTACTGACTGAAGGAAATGTTGAAGATAATCATAGTAAATGAATTGAATCAAATGGTTCTTTTTCCCGGGTCAGATCCGATCCCGCAACCTTTTACTCTACAGCACCATGTTTCATCAACTGTGTCAATAGATACTTGGTATCACTCAATAGGTTTATTTTAAACATTATTAGGTACATAATAATCACAAACTATTATTACTTACATCACCAAAAAGGTCTCATAAGAAAAACTAAATTTTTAAAACTTTTTTTCCCTAAATTTCAACGAATTCTGTTATGAAAAACAATTGTTTCAATGGTTGTTCAATATACTGGTAGTTTACATGACATGAATCTATGAAAGCAAAAAAATGAGCAATATGTTTGTTCAATTTATGATACAATTAAGAAAAAAATTTGCGCTGAATATCAATCCACAAACCAATATTTATATAATACTGTGAGTTTATAGCCGCGAAAAAAAATAACCTTTGGTTGCCATAGTCTGCAAATGAACCACGAATGTCTGGTCATGAAGTTGCGACAACCGGGACCTGGAGGGCAGACCTATGGATAAAATGTAAGAGCGCTACAAGTGGGCTTAGAAAAATCGGCGATGAGATCGATATCTCCAATTATAAAAAATGGAATTGAGGAATAGAAGCCAGAAAAAAATTATTATTATATTTTAAAAAAGAGCGGAGGAACCAAGCCCAAAATCTGATTAAGCAATAAACAGTTTGGATTTCGTAACAAAAGCTCTACAATTGATGCAATTGTGGAAACTTTAGAGGTTCTTATTGAAAGCAATAATACTGTTAAATTAACGCACTGCACACTCTTAGATCTATCTAAAGCTTTCGATACCGTTGATCATAATACCCTTATTCACAGTGTCACCTTTAAGGGCTGAGAGGCATTCCTCTTAATTTACTTAAATCCTACCTCAGCAATAGACACCACTATGTCTTTCATTCGAGCAATTATTCAGCAACAGAGAAGCTTCATTGTAGGGTACCTCAAAGTTCTGTTTTGGGTCCCCTGCTTTTTCTTATTTATATCAAGGATCTTCCCAATATACGACAGCACTGTGAATGTATTCTTTATGCGGATGACACTAAACTTTTTGGAATACTCAACGAAACTAAAGAACTTAAAACAAATTTGGAACTAATATCCGAATGGATGGAAAACAATAAACTTACAACAAACAAAGGAAAAACACAAATAATAATTACAAATGGGGAAAAAATTGAAAGTTTTACTTGGAACCAAAACACGATAGGACTAAAAAGTGCAGTTTAATACCTGGGATTAATTTTGGATCGAAATGTTACTTTCAACCAACATATTGAATCAGTCAGAAAAAAATTGCAATCGATTCATATGCATTTTTATCAAACAAAAGAGTTTCTCAGCTCATCTGTTCTCATTAGAATTTACTAGCAGTTTAAACAACCAATATATCAATATCGTGTATTATACTACGGAGTTGCCTATAAAACCGCTTTAAAAAACTTGCAATAACTACAAAAATTTTTAATTCGGTTTGCGTTTGGCCTCAATAAAAACCTAAGAAGTAAGGATTAGTGGAAAAACTGTGTGAGCAAACACGCAGAGTGTTTGCTCAATTAATGACTTACACGTATACGAACTGCTGAAATTACTCTCTAAAGTAATAAGGCGAGAACGCGAAAATGACAATGTGAACAGTTTTATTACAACAAAAAAATTAGACAAATCACTCGATACCAATGCAATTTTTTTTTTGACAATGGTTCCATGGTTCTTTTTCGCACCATGTTTGTGAGACAAAAAGAAACATTCGAACTTTGGTTTTGATCTTTTGCTTTGTGACAACACTCAAGAACTGGGACAGAGCTATGATGGTTTAGGGGGGTCTTCGTCTTTTGCCAATACAGAATGTCGTTTCAAACTTCTTATGTCAAACTTTCAAAATCGTTGGTCTTAAAATAATTTCTACCAATCGATATAATCGTATACGTTTTTCAAATTTTTTTCAGCAGAGTCGATCGCGGATACTTTTGACCCAGTAACACCAAAGCCACCTAGCTTTTTTGATTGTGCGGAATTCAGTTGTTTTCGTCGGAAACGCCGGTTGCAGATAGTTTTTGGAGCCACGCCGGTAGTACAAAGTCTGGAAATTTTGAATTTAAGTAGTGGCTGTCGGTAAAAACCCAATTTTGGTTGCGACAGGCTGGAAAGGCAAAAAACTTAAATGCGGTAACTTAGTTATAAAACGCCAATCTTGATCGGGGTCTTCAGAAATGCTCTGCAACTTAAAACCAGGTAGCTGAAAACACCAATGATGGATAATTTTTGAAAACACCAATGGTGCATCTTAAATGAGTAATTTTACTTATGGTTAAATAGGTGCATTCTAATTTATTCATGTAAACTCGAACTTTAAGTTGTGCCTTATGTCTCCAGGCTTAACTGTTAGGTTCTGTTAAGTAGCGACGATCACTGTCTCTTGAATTGATTTTTAGTCCAGTTCTACGCGGAACGAAGTAGGTCATAAGTGAAAACGTGGAACTTGATTCAAATTTACAATATACCGTAGGGAAGAAAATCTCTCTGTGGAACTATAATTTAAGATGGTTATTTTAAAACAACCCTTGTGTTTCTTTGATACAGGAAAATGTTCTTTTGTACGATATATTCTGTCGGATAATTTGGGTAACTATTCAAAAAAGTCTATTTGTGATCCATTTTTCCGTTCCTAATTTTTGACATCTTGAAAAGTATGACCAAATTTTTTCAAATTTGCTGCATCGCGGGACATTTGTTCAACATAATTGAAATAGTTTCTGCTATGATTCGGATATTAACATCCTTTGTTCTCAATCTGTTGGTTGTTCCTAGAAAAGCTTAAAAAACGACCACAAAGAAATTACTTAGAAAATTATTGACACCCGATTTGAATGTAGATTCCTATAACCAGGCCAAGACTCTAAGTTCTGCTCCTTTTTGTTTCCTTCACATGTTTTGACCAATCGAGGTTTAAAAAATTGATTAGTTAAGTTTTCGGCACAACAAAATAAAATATTATTGGCGAATATTTTTGTGGGAAATATAATAAAAAAAACTGTTATGCCATTAAAATTTGTATTCTTGCACTATTTTTCTTGTTTAAAGTTCGATCTCTTTAGTTTTCCAAAACAAGCAATTCTTAATACCTCAGTTTTTGAGAAGGCAGCTAACAAAAATGCCATTTTTGAGGTTATATATCCTGTCACTTCACGAAGTAGTAGGAACAAAAGAACAGGTTGTTTTTTCGGTCGATTTCAGGTACCTCAGGGAAAGCTTGTAGGGAGTCAAATGCGAAGTCTTTCTGGCCGCGGTGCGGATTCGAGAAACAATACAAAAAACGTTGTCTCTGCTTTTGTAGACAGTATGAGCAAACTTACAATTGAGGCGACGAAAGGCTAAACTCAATTGACTTTTACTGAAGGCAAAATATTTTTTTCTGTTATTATTTTTTTAATTTTTGTATTTCTTTCATTGCTGTCGGCGCATTTTGTGCCAATTGCGAAACATCCAGCTACTCTTATCGTTTGGTTAATTTTGAAGGTATGTTGGTATTTTGCATTACTGAAAACTGTGAGAGAAATTTTTTGCTTTTCTCGCTCCTACTTGTGTTTCCAATTAGGAGAAAAACCACCTGCTTCTTATTAATATTTTTGCATAATTAATTATGCCTATATTAAAAATAGCTCCGCGTGATTTGAGGGTGAGCAAAAAATGTCACAACTGCTGATTGTCGCAATTTCATTAATTTGTTTTCTTTCTATAATGAAAGTGTAGCAAAATTAATCTAATTCACTTTTCAGTATGGCAAAGTGAAATGCTAAGTGACTTTTTTCGACTTTTTGTATCGTTTTAATGGATTGTTTTTGCTGCTGAAGCCATCATTGGAAACAGCTAATTGACTATCGAAATTACTATGCAAAAAATGTTCGGATAACATTTGCTAGAGGAGGAAAAGGAATTAGCTGAAACACCTTAGTTCCCTTTTCTCAATTGTTTCCCGATTTAGCATAGGCGCGTTAAAGTGGCCCAAAAAGTAAGTAGGTGAATTGACCTTTCTACGGCGCCCAGTCGAATAAGACTAATGTCGCAGATGCTTCATCTAATAACAGGCTATTAATTAGATAAAAACCCTAGTTTACTACCCATCTTACCAGCAAAATTAATGGCCTAACTAAGTTATGCTGGCATCAAAAATCAGCCGCATCTGAATTACAATTACTGTTCAAATGAAAGGTTAATTTAGGATTTTCACCAATAGGAGAGATAGTTTCTAAAATAAAAACAACCTACTATAAGGTCGACTGAATCGGTTTTGCCAAAAAATTTTGCACCGCGGTAATTTTTTTTAAATGGGCCAGTTCCTGAAGGCTTTTACCGTAATAAACAAGCTGCCCTCTCAAAATTAGAGGCCCAAGGCATCTTCAAACTTTTGTATGTTGCGTTGGCAGAAATGATTTTTTTCATTTCTATATCCTTACAATTGTTTTCAAAAAATTAAATTTTCTTCGAGCCCTCATTTTAATAATGAATTCTGAATTTTGTTTGGGTAATATTATAATGTTTTGCAGGTTTTCTTTGAGGAGATGCTGTGATTGGCCAACTTTGAAGTAATCAGTTTAACAAATCTGACTTTCAATTTTCTCACTGCAACCTATGAATTTACCTCCTAAGCAAAGCAAATATGTTTCCTCAACTATACTTTTACTGATTTTAAATTATTTTTATTTATTTAACCTGCAACGAAATCAAGAAAAATTATTAGCAAATACTTCTATTTTCGATAATCATCACTTCACAATTTGCCCTGGTGGTGAATATTTTTTGGTTTCCATTATTAAATTATCAAGTTAGCTAGTTACTTGTTTTGCTAACTTCTGATTATCAGTCTCTAATACAAAGCTCTAGTTTTAACTTCCGCAATTTCGCTGCTTGTTCATTTCAGTTCAAAAGAAAACTCATTTAAGTTTCTATATCAAAGCACTTCACTTAAAATCGGCAATTTTTCCCCGGTTTATGTCAGACGTTTTTATTGGTAGTCATTATAAATTTTCATCGCATACTTGAAAAATTCATTTTTTGCTCTTTTTTATTTCTCTCCTCATTTTATGTAGTCTCAGAATACCAATCAAATTAGTCATGAATAATGTATCAGAAAATTTTAATGTAAATGTTGACAACGGAAGCGAAGTGGATTTGAAAATGCCAGGAAAAGTGACAAAAGTTCAGAACTTATCGAAAAATTCGACCTTTAACGAATCATTTGAGGATGCAGCTATGGAGTTTATTATTACGGACCCCATAGTTTATGCCCTGTTTAGCGTTCTGACAGTTATCGGCTCATTTATAATCGTGTGGTTGTTTGTAACAACTAAAAAATTGAGATCGATTACTGGTTATTTGATGGTTTCGATAACCGTTATTGACACGTGTACTGCGTTGTTCATTTTGGCCCCTTCGGTTTACACGACTATCGCGAGACGAGTGCCATGGGAACACACGACACTATGTTCACTCCAGGTAATTCCGAAGTTTGCTATTTGTTTCTATCAATCACCCAACTATATTTATTGCTTTCCAATCCAATTTAAGCTTAGCAAAATTTTACTGCACAAGTCGCAAAGAAGTTTCCAAGAATAGTTTAATTGGTACAAAACTGGGAAAAAATGTCAAAAATTTTCTTTGATTTCTTTCTTTTTTATTCAAACTGAAATGAATGGCATAATTGGTAGCATAATTAATACGCTTTTTTAAGCATAATAATTAACCATTGGAAGCATAATGAATGATTGCATAATTGTTATAATTTTTAAGCATTATAATTAATCATTGAAAGGTGAAAAAAAACTAGCTCATTTTTGAAACACCAAAATTAAGAATGATTTTCATTCAATTTTTGCTAAATTTTTAAAACTGAAGAGCAAAAATTCAGACAGTTTTTCTCGACATTGAGCAGTTTCTTTAAGTGATATTTTTGGAATCTAAATTATGTGTCAGAAAGAGATTTCTAATGTCTCCTGTTTAATTTCTACATTCGCGCGAAAAAAACAACAAATATAACAAGGTCAACAGTATAACAACTAATCATCATCTACTCTTTTTTTGTTTCGAGCAAAATGTGTTTATTTTTTTTACCCAAGTTACTGCAATTCCAATGTGTTCACAGTTTTCCATTTGAAACGCGTCAATTTATCTGAAATTTAGATTTATTTAAGAGAGTATTCAGGATTAAGACTGCTCTTTGTAGTGTTTTGAGAATATCAAATAAGCCCCCTATCAAAGCTGAAATATTTTTTGGTACGAAAAAATGATAATGATATGACTGTATTTTGAAAAAAATGCAAATTATGCTCACAAATCATGATTTTGCGAGCGCTTAGTTTCACTACGAACACATTATTGTTCCGACTTTCGATACGAAAGTAACGGAATATTTGTGCTCGGGGTGGGTTTTTTTTTTCTTCAGACAAATTTCGACTTTTTAACTAGCCACATTTGACGGAATTTTTTTATATCATTCGAAAGCTATTGTTGTCCTGAGCCTAAATTTGAAAAGATATTTCACCTGTGATCAGCGTAAGCGTAAGCGGAGATTTAATCCGTCTTAGAAATCGTTCCAAATTGGTTAAAATAAGCTTATTTGCCATAATTGATTTGTTACAAGGAGCGAAATCTTTTGTTTTGTACTAAATATGGCGTGTTTCAAATTTTTGGGAAAAAGTTTTTCATTTTATTTGATTTCATTTCATCTTTTTTGTGTTGTTTATGTTATTACTGCTCCATATACGTTAAAAGGCAGTCGGAACTTTCAGAGCTTCGCCCTGATACGAGCAGTCTTATTACTTTTTGTGGATTCCACAAACTGTTCTGGTTTCCGCAAACTTTGCTGCGAGTTCCTCAGAGTCGGCTGCTTTTGGAGTGGTTTTGAGCAATACAGCATTTTAGTTTTTTAGTCTTGGTATCCAAAACAGCAAAAAAAAATCAAAGAAAATATAGTCGCGTAGCGAGTTTTGCGATAAATCTTTTTTTAGCCTGTTGAAGAGTTCGCTTAAATTTCACAACAAAACCCATTTTGGCCTCATATTGTTTCTCTGCTTTTTTCTGTCAGACAGTGCTTGTATATTTTGAGCCAATTTAGATAACGTTCACGCAGATCCAGAAAACTGAATTTATGAGCTTCAAACATAACCCTTGATTACGTAAGCTGAATAAAATGAACGTTGGTTGTTTCCAGGATTGAAAAGAATTGAGCAATTTTTTATTGTAGAAATCTTACAGATGAATAAATTAGATAAGTGCTTCAATAAAGTTCTATATATCTTTTGCAGTTTTAATGCCAAAAACCAGTTTGATTGCTTTGCACGAATTTGTTCCTATAAAAAAATTATTTTCGAACAATTTCAACGGATGTTTTCCATTTGAGAACTTTAAAAAATTTTTTTTTATGCTTTCTGGGAGTTTTGGCATTTCGGAGGGAGCCCACAATTCACAAAACACGAGAAAACAACACATTAAAAAGATTGTGTCATTTGCAACAAAAACAAACCAAATGTGACATTTGCAACAATTCTGATATCTTGTAACAAACTGTTATCAAGGTGAAGTTGAATAATGTAGACAGTTGAATTTTTGGAAATCAATTATTTTTTCTATCACTAGCATTCAAGTGCTTCCCAGGAATTGTCATCACGGAGAATTATAATTTAATAAAGCTTTTAAGGGATTAATTTATTAATAAGCTTTCAAATTGAGCAAGTTTTGTTTATGAAGTGGTAAAATGTTGAGATAAAAATTTAAATTTGAAATCCTATTCAAAGTGAACAAGACTGCTCGTATCAGGGCGAAGCCCTGAATGTTCTGACTGCCTTTTAAGGTCTATGGAGCATTAATAAGATGAAAATTTTCAATGTAATAAAAAAAAAATTTGAAAAAATTTGAGATTTTATTTAAAAACATCCCCCCCACACGTCATATTAAGTTTAAAGTGGTAGATTTTGCGGCTATTAACAAATCAATTATGGCATATAAGCTTCCTTGAACCAATTTGGAACAATTTATAAGACGGATTAAATCTCGCCTACGCGTTAATAGCGCGAAATTTATCGCGCGTTAATTGTCCCAAATTGACCAAAATGGCAATCTTTAAACCCCCAAAACTTTACAAAAAATGATCACAGGTGAAATATCTTTTCAAATTTAAGCTCAGGTCAACAATGTTTTTCGAATAATATAAAAAAATTCAGTCAAAAATGGCTAGTTAAAAAGTCGAAATTTGTCTGAAGAAAAAAAAACCCACCCCGAGCACAAATATTCCGTTACTTTCGTATCGAAAGTCGGAACAATAAAGCTCCAGAAATTATTTTGACAAAATCAAGACTAAATGATTGTATGCAAGTAGCACAGAGGTTTCCAACCTCACTTTTTTGAATTAGCTCTTTGGTGATTTTTGCATTTGAAAGGAAGACACTTATTCACAAATTGCGAAGCAACTTGAAAATCAAATTCTTAAAGAACAAGACTGCTCTTATCAAAGCAACACCCTCATATTTTTCGACTGCATTTTAGATCTATGGAGCAGTAACAACATAAAAAAATTGAATGCAATAAAAATGAAAAGGGTTTTGTTTAATTTGAGATTTTTTGTAAAAATCATCCCCCCACACGCCATATAAAGTACAAAGTGATAATTTCGCTCCTAGTAACAAATCAATTGTGGCAAATAGGCTTCCTTCAATCAGTTGGGAACAATTTCTATGATGGAATAATTTTCCGCTTACGCGTTAATAGCGCGAATTATATCGCGCGTTAATTGTCCTAAATTGACCAAAATGGCAATATTTAAACCACCATAACGTTACGAAAAAGGATCACAAATAAATTTTTTTTCTCATTTAAGCTCAAGTCAATAATACTTATGAATGATTAGAAAAGTTTTGTCAAAAATGGCTAGTTAAAAAGTCGAAATTTGTCTGAAGAAAAAAAACCACCGAGCTCAAGTATTCCGTTAATTTCGTTACGAAAGTCGGAACGAACAATAACAATTCAGTTAATTTTATAAATTATACGCCGCTCAGAAACAAGGGTTAGAGTTTTGTCTGCAGATTGAATTGAAATAAATTGAGCTCAGCCATTTCTGATAATTTTTGATTGAATTTGAATATTGTTCAATAATAATCTAGAAACAGTTTGCGAAGTTTGCAAACATGAAACTTCAATATTTCCGTTAAATAATTGGTGGTCTTCTTTTTCATTAATGTTAAGCCCGTAAAACGACATCAAGTTTTTTCCAACAAAAATAAAATCTTTCAAATAATTCCGGTAGCCTTTTCTTCAAATGATTTGAAATTTGAGTTGAGCTGCATAGTAAAAAAAATAGCTTGTCGTAAGAACTAAATTAAAGTTTTGAGTGGGGTGCAATCTTTCAAAGGCATTTATCTAAAAATATTGCAAAACTATAAAATTCCTTTCAGATATATATTTTTTCAGTTTTATCACAAATAGGCTTCCTTCAATCAATTGGGAACAATTTCTACGATGGAATAATTTTCCGCTTACGCGTTAATAGCGCGAATTATATCGCGCGTTAATTGTCCTAAATTGACCAAAATGGCAATATTTAAACCACCATAACGTTACGAAAAAGGATCACAAATAAAAATTTTTTTCTCATTTAAGCTCAAGTCAATAATACCTATGAATGATTAGAAAAGTTTTTTAAAATGGCTAGTTAAAAAGTCGAAATTTGTCTGAAGAAAAAAAACCACCGAGCTCAAGTATTCCGTTAATTTCGTTACGAAAGTCGGAACGAACAATTTTTGATTGAATTTCTGATAATTTTTGATTGAATTTGAATATTGTTCAATAATAATCTAGAAACAGTTTGCGAAGTTTGCAAACATGAAACTTCAATATTTCCGTTAAATAATTGGTGGTCTTCTTTTTCATTAATGTTAAGCCCGTAAAACGACATCAAGTTTTTTCCAACAAAAATAAAATCTTTCAAATAATTCCGGTAGCCTTTTCTCTCTGTCTCTCCTCACAAAAAAAAGTCTATCCAAAAGTATCTATAATTTTTTTAAACTCAATTTTCCCCCATTGTTTGGATGAATTTACAGCTAGTTGTACTCCTATTTATTAATGGCTGAGATGTTTTTTGAAAACCTTTTTGGGTTGAATGATTGATTTCTTTTCTTGTAAGCTTCATTTGTTTGGCTTTTTTTTTATTTTTGACTCTTGCTATTTTTTGTTTTTTGTTGTCTTTTTATCTAAAATAATCAAAAAAATACATGCAAGAGGGGTTATTTTCTCCTGGTCATTTCATGGGTTGCAATTTATAAGACGCGACCGGAATGACCCTACCAGTTTTAAGATATCTTTGTTTGAAATTATAAAAGTTAGGCGGTTTGAACACTTCTATGAAGATTGTTTTTAGATGTCCAATAGAACTTGCCCATTTGAGCTAAAGTGTTTTTTCCATGCTTGTAATCTACTCAACGCGCAATTGAATTCTTGAAAATAGA